AGATAAATGCAATTGCTAGTGATTTGGTAAGGGAAAAATTATCAAAATCCAGGTATTTTGATTTATTTTTCATTCCTCAGGGTATTTTCTTACTGATATGAAAGATTTACCAGGTGATAGCTTTATATTTACAAAGCATAAATTTATGATGAAATTTTAAGCAAGGAACCTAGAGTTGAAATAGTTGTTAAAAGTATCATTTTAATTCCTCTATTTAGGGTATTCTTAAATATTTCATGAGTTTTATCATATTCAGAATAGCTAACCAGTTCATTTAGTTCTTCTAATTAACACAAAAGTTTCAAAGAGAATGGCATCAGTAATCAGATTCAGGATGCTTTGAGTAGCAATAACCTATATGGGCATCCCAGTTCAAAGTCTTGGGGTTCCCAGTAGCCAGAAAATGCTCTGGGATACCATTACATATTATGGGAGGGTAGAAATGATTGGGGGTAGAGTGTAGTGGTTAAACTTCATATTCTGAAATTAGGCTATACAAGAACAAATCCCAGTCCTGCTGACTTTCCTGCATGACTTTAAGCAAAGTCTCAGATTCCTCATCAGTAAAATATGCAAAATGACATCAGCTGCTCCATGGAGTTATTATTCAAAGGTAATGAAACACAAAAAAATTAAGTAGTAGGGTTGTACACATGCTCTTTCTAGAGAAACAAAGGTTGCACATTTTGCATCATTTGTGGTAGCTAGAATGTACCTATAACTCTGTATATAAACCCATTGGGCGGTATGCAAGTGGTTACTAATGAGATAACTGAGCACATTAGACTCTATGGAGAGCTCCAACAGTATATTCTTTTAGAAAGACTAAATCAAATCTCAATAAAATCAACACCAGGAAAGGGATACATGTAAGAGACAAGTATGGAGCCAAGCAGAGACGGGTACTTGAGTGAAGGGAGGGAAGGGGGGAAAATGTAGTCAAGACTTTCATTGTATGTACCACAAAATTAAGAAAAGAAAGGGAAGAGGTGAGCTGAAGAGGGGTGAACATTTTAAAAGCGGTGTCAATGATCATGATTGTAATCCTAGCTATTCAGGAGGCTGAGATCTGAAGATTGCAGTTCAAAGCCCTCCCAGGCAGAAAATCCATGAGGCTCTTATCTCCAATAAACTACTCAGAAAAAGCTAGAAGTGTTCCTGTAGCCCAAATGATAGTGCTAGGCTTAAGCACAAAGAGACTCAGGAACAGGGCTCAAGCCCTGAGTTTAAGCCCCAGGACTGGCCAAAAAGAAAAAAACCCAGATGCATTGTATTCATAAACTGCTTTGTTATCTTTGTTATATGGTGCTTCCTTTGTACAACTACTTAAAGATAATTTTTTTAAATCACAGAAAAAGAATAAATGTTCTTCTATTACATGAGTTTACTGATACCTGGTCATTGCTCTTGAAAGTAGTATGAATATCTAGGAAACATCCAAATATGTCCTTCTTCCTAGCTGTATTTTGGTATTTTTTCAAAACCAGCCTGGATGCTCCCAAAGCTTCCTCTATTTATCACTGACCCTAAGAGAGAGGTCAATAGTAAAATCCACAGGATGATTAGCACTGATCTTTTATATAAGGTTTTTCCTCTTTCAGGTTACCTTTTCCTTGCTAAAACAGGTGACTTTTTACAGTCTGAACCATTGAAAGTAGCTGCGGTACAGAAAGTCATGCCTCTTTTCTGTAGATCTTCCAAGGAAACAATTGGAAGTACACACAGGGCTTGTGTCTTTAACAAGAAATGTACTCATTGCCTTACTCAAATAACTGTAACCCCTCTGTACAGTATCTTTACAATAAAATAAAATGTAATAAGAATGAGGAAGATATATGGCTCATGTTGAATGGGATACTTTGTATATATGTATGGAAATGTCATAACTAAGGCCTCCCTGTATAACTAACATGTGCTAATAAAAAGAAATATAGAAAAAAAAAGAAGCTAACAGCTGACTGTTCACCTTTTCCCTGCCTCACCACCTAGCCCTACAATGATGAGCTTCACTCTCAACTAGCAAACACTTGGCAAGTGAGCACCAGTATTAATGGTGCTGGATTTAGTAATCAGTGTTTACATCCCTGTTAAAATATTTCAATATTATAATTGGGTGGTCCTGTCTCCTTCTTCCGAAAGCTAGATTTATTCCATCTGCAAGCCTTAATTTTCTGACATATTTGAAACTTACATCCAATGTTGGGAGACAACTCCAGAGCCTATATTTAGACAAACTAATCCCATCCTGTTACTTGATTTAACCTTGTAATAATATCAGCTAAACTGTTGCTATCTTTGTTCTGGAGATAATCTCTTTACTTTCCCTATAACTCCAAAGAATATGCTAAGATCTTTAAGATATTACCAGATTCCAACAACGTACAATTCTAAAAACATCTTTCTATGCTAACTAAATATTCAGGCACAAATGCCACAAAGAAAGGGTAAGTGGAATAACAACAACAGAAAAAGAAGTATAATAATGAGTCTGATCCCCCTCAAGAATATAAAGCAGGAAGTAGACAGATAAACACTGAAACAGCAAGTCTGGCTCAATTTGCTTTTAATAATAGAACAAAGACAAGGATAATGTCTTTATGATTTTCTCAATTTTATAGTTTATGGGCATCCAAATATTAGTTTATATTGGAATACCTGTCAGTATCCCAGATTGGTTATCATTTGAGCCTTTGAAGTCAAAATGACCTGTGCATTGATTTATAGTAAGTACTTGATAAGCTGGAACTTGGGACAGAAAAAAAATGTAGATAAGATTGCTTTCCCTCATCTGTAGATTCAAGAAATTATTTCTATCTATCATATCTCAGAACAGTACAGAATTAAAAATAGAACCAGGATAAATAGAATTCAGATCTTAGCTATTCAAATGGACTCAGGATAAGTAAGAAAGACCCTTGATTTGGCTCAGATTTCCTCAGGAAAAAAACAAATTCACACAAAAGGAGATGATTTACCTGTACAACATTTGGTAGGCATTTTATTTTCAATATTTATCTCAGTAATCTCTTAAAAATACATTTATACTTACCACCATGTTATTATGGGGATATAGCATACAAATTAAAAATCACATACCTAAAAATCTACTTCTCTCCCCCCCCAAAAACAAGCTCTTCATGTCTGTGAGACATAATCAGCACAAATGGAAATGTGCTGTAAATGAAAATACACACATAGTTCCAAAGAGAGGACACTTCTTTTCTATGAAATTTTACTAATATTTCATTAACAATTTTTATAGTAAATATTGAACTGAAGGTATTTTGGATAAGTTCAAGTAAATACTGAAATTACTGTCACTACTTTCTTTCCTACTGAAATTACTGTCACTACTTTCTTTCCTTGTCAAATGCAGTTACTAGAAAATTTGACCTCACACATGAAACACTTGCACACTTCTATTATAATGTATAGCTTGGAGCAGAGCATGTGGCATCAGACTGGAGACACTATTTACATTTTGCACATTCTAGGCAGGTTGGGCATCATCACAATCATAGTAGTAATACTCAATACCTGGAATCGGGCTGCTGTTGTTGTTGTACCATTGCATCAAGTCAATTAAAATAAGTTTCTCCTGAAATGGAGCCCAGACAATCCTCTAAGCAGACTCAGTGCAAACATGAGCCACCCAGTGCTCCCAGTACTCATAGGAATGGGAGCCACACTAGTATAGCAGCTCATCTGTTATAGCTTATATTGTACAATGGAGGAGCTATTCATAAAAAATTAGGAGAGGCAAGCCTTTCCCATGTGTTAATGCAGATACTTCTATTTCACTTATTTTCAAGTCTGGTTATAGTAAAATTCTTCTACAGCTGAAGAATGAAAGTAAGTGTTATCTGCTTACATTATTTGAGAACCTATTAAACTTCTTCTTGAAAGAAAATGAGACAAACACTGAGGTTAATTATCTATGCACTTGCTATGTATAGACAGGATGTGTTCATATATCCAATAGCCAGGCATATGTAATTGTTGAACTAAGGTATCTGATCTACAGACAACAGTACTCTACACATTTAATACCTAATGAATAACACAATTCTTCCAGTACAAATAGAAGGAATGGATAAACTCATAGGTATGAAGTAGACAAACGAGGTAACAGAAGGGAAATGAGCAATGATGAGGGTCAACATGACATGCTTGCATGTTGGCTGGAATGAGGGTTTCTATTGGCCAGGAGGCAAAATTATGAGTATAAATGTGAGGTGGAATTGGACATTCCAAGGTTCAGAGAGAGAGAGAAAGAGAGAGAGAGAGAGAGAGAGAGGGAGAGAGAGAGAGAGAGAGAGAGAGAGCCTATGATATGGTTAGGGCATAGATATTATTGAAGGAACAGGTTGATACTTTTTCAAAAAAAAAAAAAAACTTTTACTCCCTCTAAAATTCTGTCTTTCACAAAACAGCACTGATTTATTACCCTGTATTACCATGTAATTTCTTTCCCATCTTATTAATAATTACTCCTTCAATACATAGGAAGCTCCTTGTTTTATTTCAGAACATCAGACAGGAGTAATGATCAGGAAAAAATATACTATTAGTTGACATTTACTGTTAAAAATGACAAGCTAGCAGATCTGAGGCAGAAAGAAGCCTATAGGTTATGTATGATTAAGTGGTTATCAGAAAGTTCTAAAATGGCATTAAAATATCAGACAACTACCAAAACCAAACCAAAACAAAACAAAGCCAAAAAAAGGAAGCAGTCAATGTGAGATCATCAAAGAGTTGTTCATTGAGAGTCTAAAGAAAGACAAAGGATTTCCATCAGGACATTCGTTTTAGAAAGGTAGTTAAATGAAGTCACACTGCCTATGTAAATCATTTAATCTTTCTCTTCTCACTTTAAAGGATGAAGACATCAACTTTATACAAGCAAAGATGCTTTGCTAACGATGTTACAAACTCACATTCTCCTGATCCTATAACAAGAGCCTGTGTTTTGTGTGTTTGCCATTGGTTTTTCTCAGACTCAGATTAGCCCTAAGGAAGGGTGGCAAGTATACAGCTCTGCACAGGATCCTGATGGGCGATGTATCTGCACTGTGGTGGCCCCAGAACAAAACCTGTGTTCCCGGGATGCCAAAAGCAGGCAACTTCGCCAACTGCTGGAAAAGGTAGGTGTCTTGGGTCCTCTCTGCATATGTTTATTGAGATCTACCATTCTTCGGGGAAGAAGTATGACAGATCAGGTAGCTGAGTAGATCCCTCTGATTTTTGTCATCTTTTTCAAATAAGTTTTTTTTTTTTTTCTCACTTCTTAGGAGAAGTATCTCAAGCTTTCTACCATATTTTTGAACTTCGAGAACTTTTCTTTTCCTAACCTCCTCTTCTTAAGACAAGGCTTTCTAATTCTTAATATATAGTCAGTCTTTCCTAAAGGCAAAAAAAGAAAAATCAACAAGCCTTCTTGTGATACCAGAAATTTATCTCCAACTCAGGATCAGATCACACTTAGCTCTTTGAGCTCATGGTTCCGGATACCATTAGTAATCTTGCAAGGAAGTTTAAATAATGGCATGCAATATGCAAGCTCTCTGGGCAGATAATGAATAATTCCAAGTATTTATCATCATTCTCCAAGTCATTCCTTAGAACATTAAGCTCTTCAATTTCATTCAGGACCATTCCCTCTATAATTTACTTAAGCTGAATCCATAACAATCAAATGCAGAATGCCCTTGATGTATTCTCTTCTACAGATAAAAGTCAGCTCATGAGAGGTTATTTATGTTTATTTAGGAGGGGGAAAATCCAGTGACTGGTTCTCTCAATTATCCCATTCAGGCTTGCCCTGTGCTCCAGGCAAGGATGACAACATGTTGGAAGTTTAAATATCAGGAATAAGAAGATAAATTCAATAGAATGGGCTTTAGTGGGTAAAGTGTTCATGAATTCACTCCATGCCATATTATTTCCATGAAGATCCAAACAGTTATGGCATTACATAGGAGCTATTCAACATAAAATCAAGACAGCAAATAACATGAAATCTAGCTTGTTCATGTAGACAAGGACATTTTTCACTATTTCAAGCCCAATTCTCATGACTTTCTTTCACCTTCCATAGAGACAGCATACATTTCTTTTGGGTACATAGTTTGGAAGTCTGCTGATGATAGAACTTATTGAGAAGTTTGCTTTCATGTTTTTACACAAAGCTTAGTTTGTTTCTCCCTCCCCTTTCTTGGAACTCTTAGTGCCTATTGGCTGAGTCCTCTCAGCTCTTGCATGGTGAGATCGCAGTCTCCCTGCTCCTTCAATATCCATCAGCAGACAAGAAGATACTATATATCACTTCAGATCAAATTAATGACTCTAGCTATTATGTGTCCTAACTGTTAAATGTCATTGATTAATAACTATAATAATCTTAGGGGTATTGTTTTCCAATCAATTATCTTCTTTTTTAAAACTTTAAATATATAGTAGTTAGAAAAAGATTTAATATTTTAAATTCATTTTTGTTTTTCCATTAAATTGTATAGCTACTCAAATGACTGACAATCTGTATCAATCTTGTGTGTGTGTGTGTGTGTGTGTGTGTGTGTGTGTGTGTGCCAGTCCTAGAACTTAAACTCAGAGCCTGGGTGCTGTCTCTGATTTTCTTTTTGCTCAAGGCTAGCGCTCTACCACTTGAGCCATAGCTGCTCTACTTCTGCCTTTTTTTTTTTGTAGTTTAGTGGAAATAAAAGTCTCACAGGCTTTTCTGCCTAGTCTGTCTTCAAAGTATAATCTTCAGATCTCACCCTACTGAATAGCTAGGATTACAGGCATTACTCACTGATACCCAACTAGTACTGAACTTTTCATCATATAACTATCTTTTTCTATGTCAAATATGCAGAGAAACATTTTAGCAGCATAACTTTATCTCGTGTCATTTTTTTCAGTATAGCATTAGATATAAATAAACATTTCTTCAATAATCAGTTGAAAACATTCAAATAAAGTGTAAATGTCACAGAGTAAATAATCCTCTCTACAGGTCCAAAGTGAAACATAGTTCAGAGATATGGTAGAATTAGAAATTAGGAGTGGATGAATAGGGGAAAGAAGGATAAATAGGAGTTTGTTTGAAAATAATCATGGAAATTAATATTCTATTTAATAGTTCATTTGGGTACATACTTTTTTTTTTTTTTTGGTTGGTTGTGGGGCTTGAACTCTGGGCCTGGGCGCTGTCCCTCAGCTCTTCAGCTCAAGGCTAGCGCTCTACCACTTCAGCTACAGCGCCACTTCCGGTTTTCTGGTGGTTTATTGGAAATAGGAGTCTCACGGTCTCTCCTGCCTGGGCTGGCTTTGAACTGCGATCCTCAGCTCTCAGCCTCCTGAGTAGCTAGGATTACAGGCGTGCGCCTCCAGCACCTGGCTTTGGGTACATACTTTAAAGAGATTCCACAAAATCATGCCTTTAAAAATTCATCAACACCCAAATGAGAGAAAATGTATAAAATTATTAACAAAGTCTAAATCTGAGCACGCAAGGTTTATCAAATTTGCTTTAAAGTAATTTTATGATAGAAGAGGAGTAATAAATTGTGTGCATACTTTTATAGTGGCCTGAAGGACATAAGCTGTAATGATCAAAAAAATATTTCAAATAAGCATTATTTTTCAGACTGAGTAGTCATTGGTGTCCATAGTTTTATTTATATCCAAGATTTTATAAACAAATAGAAATGAAGCAGCACACTCACCCTTAACCATAAAGCTGAATAAAAGGGAATATTATCAAAAGGAATAATAATGAGCTGGCACAGTGTCTCAGGCCTGTAATCCTGAATTCTCAGAGTACTCAAACTGGAATCTGAGAATTGAGGTTCAAAGCCATCCCAGACAGAAAAGTCCATGAGATTCTTCTTTTTTTAGTTGGTTGTGGGGCTTGAACTCTGGGTTTGGGCGCTGTCCCTGTGCTCTTCAGCTCAAGGCAAGCAGTCTACAGCTTGAGCCACAGCGCCACTTCCTCCATGAGATTCTTATCTCCAATTAACCAGTAGAGAAACAAAAGTGGAGGAATAACTCAACGGGTAAAGTGCCAGCCTTGAATGAAAAGCCAATGAGAGCATGGGACTGTGTTCAAACTCCAGTATGTGGTACATGTATGCACACACACAGAATAATAATAGTAGTCCTCATTATTTTTTTATATTTTATATTTTATATATTTTTATATTTTCTTATATATTTTTTTTATATTTATTATATTATTTTATACCATTCAATCTTTACAGAAAAGATTAGCTGTTTTGTAAGTTTGCATAAAAGGAAATTGGAGCTTTATTAGTCTAGGAACTTTCCAATATCACTAGACTTAGATCAATTTTTTTTTCTGGGGCTTTCGTTTTTTTTTAAAAACCACCCTGAATGTCATTGGTAGCAACCACGCCAACTTAAGTAATGTTTTGTTAAGCATTTTTACAAGTATGTATACTACAGAACATTAGGAAATTAATTCCAAGGTATTTCAGATCATATGCTATACTATAACTGTTCATCTAAAAAATATTTGGTAGCTAGTTGCTCCTACTTTATTTAGACCAGTATTTCCTGACTTTTGGACTACTGTACAAGCAACAGTCTCTTTATAAATACAAATGAGAAAACCTATATATAACCCTTTCTCACTGAAGATTTCCAAGACACAGTTTAAAATTTTGTAAAATTCATGGTGAATAAACCTTATTTTTGTTGTTGTCTTTAAAAAAAAATGTACCATTAGTGGGGCTTGAACTCAGGGCATGGGTACTACCCCTTAGCTTTTATTGCTGATGGCTGGTCTTGTACCATACCTTTAAGCCTCTGGTCCACTTCTGGCTTTGTAAGTGGTTAATTGGAGTTAATTGTCTCATGGGTGTTGCCAGAGCTGCCTGTGAACCCCAATTCTCAGACTTCAACCTCCTGAGTAATGAGAAACCCATTTTTTAAATAAACTCAAGCCTACCCAAATATATTGATCCATAATGCTTTTTCAAAAATAAACTGGCCTTCATACTAATCAATGCGAGTGACAAAATGTAAGTTAATTTTTGTTCAGAGAGATATTTAGCTTATAGGCAGAGGCACAAAATGATCAGTGAATGCAGACAAGAAGTGGGCAAAATTTTCTAGTGTGTCTCTCTTAGTCAGATTTTTGTCATTGTGACGGAAACCAGATAAAAACTAAGAGAAGAAGGATGTATTTTAGTCTCCCAGTTTCAGAGGTTTCTGTCCATAGGCATGTGGCTCCATTGTTCCTGGGTCTTGGTGAGCAGAGCATTGTAATGGGAGTGTATGGTAGAACAAAGTCCTCTCGCCTGGAGGCAGACAAGAGGCAGAGTGCAAAGAAATGGCAAAGAGGGACACAGAGGCAGCGAAGTTACAGCTTCTAATCTCACACACACACACACACACACACACACACACACACATCTATGATCTACTTTCTCCCTTTAATACCCACTACCTAAAATTTCTAGAACCCTCCAGAATATCATCTCTTGTTGGGGATCAAGCTCTAAATATAGGAGCTTGTAGGATACATTTCACATTCAAATTCTAACAGAATCCCCCCAGCAGGGGGACATGCATGGAAAACTGAATTTCAGCACAACTGCACACTAAAAGAGGAAACACAAAAGATAGATCACCTTCCTACAAGTCAAACAATTGAGGTCCAGTGCCCTGTGTCATTAGAAAAATGATACTCCCCCTTCAGTAGGAAGCAAATATCAGCTTCAACCAGCAAGAGAGCTGGCTAAGAGCAACACAGAGCCAGATTCCATTCACTTAGGAAGCTCTACCTCTAGCCTTCACCCCAGCTGTAGTCTTAATAATCACTCATAATTATCATATATGAACTACCATAATGAATATCAGCAAAAAATTTACTTAATGTATTTTTCCACCAACACAAATTAATTTCAAAATTAGCTTGATAGTTTGAGTCAAATGCAAGATAAAACAGAAGCCACTTTAACTTTTCAGAATATCATTTCTGCTGGGTACCAGTGGCTCACGCCTATAATCCTACCTACTCAGGAGGCTGAGATCTGAGGAATGTGGTTCAAAGCCAGCCTGGGCAGGAAAGTCCATGAGACTCTGCTCTCCAATTAACCACCAGAAAACTGGAAGTGGCACTGTGGCTCAAGTGGTAGAGTGCTCACTTTGAACTGAAGAGCTCAAAAGAAAGCTCCCAAGCCCAGAGTTCAATCCCCACAACCGACAAAAAAGAAAATCATTGCTCACACATCATTTTCTTTATCTAATGTATTTTGCTTTAATTATATTTTATAGCATGATAATAGAAACACAAAAATACTTTTTTGAAATTTGTCACCAATCATTATTACTATTGGAAAAGTCCATTTGTTAGACAATGTACGGACACATTTGGTAATAAGCATTGTGTATTCTTCTAAGTGATGGATATTTGCAATTATTTTCTCCTAGCTAGCATTTTTATTATTTGTTTAAATAGGCTTCAATTCAACCTATCAATTTCTGAATACAATGCAACTTGATCAATGTCATCCCTTCCATCATTACCGCCCCTCCCCCATCTTTTCCAAGCCCACACATCCCCTTAAATTACCTGGCTCCATTTTCACATCTGTACCTTAAATATTGTGACTAGCCTTTCTGTTTCCTTCCTTGTTCCCTCCTTCCCTTAACACACCCACCCCGCCATGATAACACATGTTGCAGTTTCCTGGTATTGATATTGTTAAACTGTAAGTTTGTTGTTCAAAGGAGTTACATCATTTTCTAAATGGACTCTGTCTGAGAACAGGGCTTAGGAGGATATCAGCCATGTTTTATAGTGGATATCTTTACAGACATATGCCATATTTAAATGGGTCATCAATTTCTATTAAACAAATGGCTTTGCTTTGTTCATGCTTAGCCATCAATGAAGTTAGAAAATTATTCTGAAAGCACTGTGTTTATTCACAATGGAGTTGCCCAGCTTTCAATGTTGGCTCAGTCATATTGTACTGCACTAAAAACTTTTTTTTCACCAAAAGCTTTCTGGATGTAAAATTGATAGTAAAATAAGAAATCTTTGTGGTCATATACTGCTATGCTTTACAAGCAGAAGGGAAGGGCTTTCAGATCCTCCTAAAATATGGAGATCTTAATTACCTATTGTTATTCTTGGAAACCCAAGTCCTTTACAGTGACAGAGCACTTGCTCTGTATCTGGTTCTGTGTAATGGCTTGAAAATAAAAGACATGAATAAAACACATCCCCTAACCACACAGAGATCAGCACATTGAGAGCCACATTCCTGGCACATCCCCAAGAACACATTATACATCCAGTTTTAAGATATGCCCTAAAAAAGACAGGATTCATACAGGGCAGGGACCAGGGATCAAGACAGCCAAGGGAAAAGAAAAGGGAAAATTGACTTGTCTGAGAAGAATGAAGGAACTAAGGCAAGTCAAGGTAAAAGTGCTCATTGTCTTTCCTGAATTTGACAATTCTAAGGTTGTATCAACCAAAGGTTAAACTTGTGACTACCTGGTGGCAAAAATTGTCCCCGAGTAAATCATTCCTTTGTAATCCACATTTTCTCCAATGAAATGAACAGTTTTGGTCCTTTTACTAATTACACATAAGGAGCACATGCTCATGAAAAACAAATGGAACAACTTGTGTAAGTGTGAAAAATAAAGCAAAACTCATTGCAATCTCACAACCATTTTTGTACCCACACTTTAAGATATTCATTTGTGGAAGTAAAAATATTCAGTGGAAATAGATTTATACATACGCTATATCAATTTACATATGCCTTGCTCTTTAGTATTTATTTTCTGTAGCACTTCAGCAATCTAATCAGTCACAACCACCACCATATATACATACATATGTATATTTCTAAGCCTTCCATATGTTTCCTCATAATGTTTCCTTATATATTCTCTTTCTTGTTATACGTGTGCATTTATTTGATTTAAAATGAAAGGATCAAATTATGTAAAGATCTTTACATTTGCTTTCCTGTGGAGATCCTGCGTGATAAAGCAGTGCTTTTCAAACTTTAATAGTCTTATGAATCTTCGGGGAATCTTGGCAAAATGAAAATTCCAATTCAGCAGCATAGGGTGAGTCTCACAATTCTGTACTTAGGACAAGCTGCTGGCACGTGCTGAAATTGAAAACAACACTGAGTACAGATGTCTATCTAATCTCTGGAAAGCTTTGTTTGTATTCTATCATTCTTCATTGAACTCTATTGGAGCCTTTCTCTTTGTTTTCACATTTTTGCTGCCACCAAAATTAGAGGTACTTTTCTTTCTTCCTCTCGTTCCCGGATGCTTTCTAGGCCTCCTGCTTCTCGCTTGCAGTAGCCCAGGGCTGACTAAACCTGAGCCGATGCCATCATTTTAACATGTGTTAGTTGCCTATCTACCAATGTGGTTGCCAGCACTGTAAATCCATCATGAAATAACTGTACTGAAAGTATTGCCTTCTAGACTATCAGACTCTGTGCTGCCACCCATCATTGCCTAGAGTCCCTGAGCTTTAGGAGGGCAGAAATACAATTTATGGAAGCAACGTATTTTGACCATTTTTCCCCATTTCAGGTATTGCAAATTTGTGAAGTGTGGAGATGATAACTCTATTTTTAAACTTGTGTATTAAACTAAATTTATTAACTTCCCATTTACATTTGGCCATTTCTAATGATGCAGTGTCCTTCTTTTAAAGATGTCATGCTGAGGTATAACTTGGTTTTGGTAGATTTGTTATGTGTTTATTGCCCGGAATGTAATCCTGGATCACTACATTAATCCCATTTTTGGTACTAAAGAAGTGATTTCATATGCCCATAAACAGGCAATAACTTACAGCTAATGATTTTATCTAACAGGTTCAGAACATGTCCCAGTCTATTGAAGTCTTAAACTTGAGGACGCAGAGAGATTTCCAATACGTGTTAAAAATGGAAACCCAAATGAAAGGGCTGAAGGCCAAATTTCGGCAGATTGAAGATGATCGGAAGACACTAATGACCAAACATTTTCAAGTAAGCATGACTTCTACAATCTTGCCACTCCAGATGAGACACTGTGTACAATGTACATGGTATAGCACTCAGCTTGCTATAACCCTAACTTGGTCCACACTGGGGACTCAATCATCTCTCCACTGTAACTACTCATTAGCTGTTCAGAATGGGGTGGGGGGATGGGAAGGGATGGGAAGGGGAAACAAAGGAGGAGGCAACAATGCTTGACAAGAATTGTACTCATTATCTTGCCCATGTGATTGTAACCCCTCTGTATGGTATTTTCACAATAATAAAAAAAGAATAGCTTTCTAAAAAAATAAAGAACACACAGCACACTGCTATAAAAGGAGCCTCCTTCTCTTAGAACAGATAGAGTTTCTGAATAGATTTTCAGGTACTTCAATAGGTAAGACAATAGGAAATTAATAATTAAATTAACAAAGCTTTCCTACTAATATGGGACAAGTGTAGAGGTTATAAATGATTAAAAGAGACAATTCAATTACAAACAGTGTATTAAAGAAACATTGTCACATAATTTTACAAAAATAAATTCTTCTTTTTAATTTTAAGTGGTTTATTGGCAATTATTTGGAAACTCTGAAAATGGAAAGAATGTTTGAGGTATGCTGTGTGACCTTCTATAACTATATAGGACAGAGTCATTAATTTAAAAAGAATCTGGGTCTGATAATGCCACTTCGGCCTATATTAAAAGTAAATAATGTGCTTAAATGATGGCAGAAACTGTTGTAATTTGAAATTTCCTTCTGTGGTCTCAGGAACCCGGATTTGGGGTGTAAGGTGACAGATATTCACATGGAGCCAGTTTCAAAGTTCTATCAGCAAGTCACAGCAGAAGGGAAAGAGGACATTGACAGGTCAGAAGGCTGAAATGGTCCACAGTATGGTTTAAATTGAAGACAGAAGCAAATAAATCCAGACAGACAAAAAATTAGAACAGATTGGAGATAGATGGGAAAGATACAGTAAATTAAAGTATTATAGGATGTGAGACTATGAATGGAATGAATGGAGAATTCATGAGAAATGGTAAACAGTGAAGATTATAAGGCTAGGGGAAGAACGTTGATTTTAATCAGGATTGATGGGGACATACACACTGAGCAAAGTAATGCCAAACCTTGTACTCGGTGTCTAATGATTACACTCTCTTTTCTATGGAAGTTCGTAAGAGGCAAGGGGAATGGATGGCCTATAGAGGCCTAAGCATCATGTACGAGCACAAGGGAAAGGCGCTTAATCTTACTTGAAGAAAGCATGGGATTTAGCAAGATTCAAGAAAGCTGGTTTTGCCGGGCGCCGGTGGGTCATGCCTGTAATCCTAGCTACTGAGATCTGAGGATCACGGTTCAAAGCCAGCCTGGGCAGGAAAGTCCATGAGACTCTTTTCTCCAATAAACCACTCAGAAAAGCAGAAGTGGCGCAGTGGCTCAAGTGGTAGAGCACTTGCCTTGAGCTGTAGAGCTGAGAGACACCATTCAGGCCCAGAGTTCAAGCCCCATGACCAACAACAACAACGAAAAAGAATAATAAAGAAAACTGGTTTTGGTGTGACCTTCACACCCATACCAAAAATATTAAATTACAGAGTGGATCAAGAAAACCAAGACAAGTACCTATGGCTCATGCCTGTAATCCTAAACTATTCAGAGGTGGCTGAGATCTGAGGACTGTGGTTTGAAGCCAGCCAAGGAAAGGAAAGTATGGGTGACTCTATCCCCAAAATAATCAGCATAAGTCAGGCAGGAGGCATGGCTCAAATGGTAGAGTGACAGCTGTGTACAAATCAGCCAAGCAAAACAAGCAAACAAACAAAAAATATTCTAACTTAATTTAGTACTTTTATTTAAGAGATAGGCGGCGGCAGCAGAACATCATGGGATGCCAAAGTTGACGTCATCAACAAAGGAGGAAATATAAGCTGGAAGTTCCCCAAAAGGAACATGCTCATGAGACAGGAACTCAGGTTGCTGGTGCAAAGGGACAATGCTGTGAATATTCTACAGGGCACAATAACTACTTGAGGTTGCCCCACTAGATAGGGTGACAATTGAGTGAGGGAGCCCAGGTATGATTGGGAATTCCTGGGAGAAGTCCAAAAATGAAACAATCAATTACAGACAAAACCAAAAGAAACACAGAGAAATAACATTCTTAGTTGACAAGTTTCATTGCAGGAGCCACAGTACCAATGAGAAACATTCATTTTTAGACATCACCATGTGACGTAGTGATGTTTCTTAGTCAATGTAATATATTGGAGCCATATATCAATATAGTCCCAATAGCATTAATTACAATAACAGTAGCTATTTTTCGTGAACAATATTGGATCAGTAAAGCCTATTTTTGAACAGTTTAAGTATGTTAAGCAATTAAATACTCACAACAATCCTACAAGGTAAGCATTAGTTTTTAATCTCCATCAGATAAAGGAACTGATGTGCAAAGATGATGTGTATTTTTCCAGAGTCATATCATCTAGCATGAATATTACATTACCTATGCAAACAGGCCTTTTCTCACAAAAATCAAAATCACAATAATGATTAGATGTTCAACATATGTTTGTTGAATTTCTTTTCTTTTTTGCAGTGTGTGTGTGTGTGTGTGTGTGTGTGTGTGTGTGTGTGCGCGCGCGCGCGCATGTGTGTGATGTGTTTGTATACTGAGGCTTGAACTCAGGGCCTCAGGATTTTGCTTGGCAATTTCCACATATGGCTGGCACTGGACCATTTGAGCCACACCTCCTCTTCTGATTTTTTTGCTGCTTAACTGGAGATAGGAGGTAAGAGTCTTCATGGGGTTTTCTTCCCAGGATGGCTGTGAGCTGCTAACTGCAGATTTCAGCCTTGTGAGTAACTAGGATTACAGGTGTAAGTTTCTAGAACTTAACATTGTGTTTTTGTTTTTGTTTTGTTTTGTGGTCATTTGTGGGGCATGAACTCTGGGCCTGGGCACTGTCCCTCAGCTCTTCAGCTCAAGGCTAGAGCTCTACCACTTGAGCCACAGTGCCATTTCCTGCTTTTTCTGCTTATGTGGTGCTGAGGAATAGAGCTCAGGGCCTCATGCATGCAAGGCAAGCACTCTACCACTGAGCTACCTTCCCAGCCCATTAATTTTTTTTATTCATTAAGTTCACTATGAATCCATGAATCCACTTTATTTTTGTTGTTGTTATTTAGTCTATTTCTGGTCCTGAGATTTGAACTGAAAACTTAAGTCTCTGAACATTTCTGTTTAAGGCTATCACTCTACCACTTGAGCCACAGCTCTACTTTTTTGGCTTTTTGGTTAATTGGAAATAAGAGTCTCATGAACTTTCCTGCCTGGCCTGGCTGCAAACCTTGATCCTTGTAGTTCAGCTTCCTGAGTGGCAAAGATGATATATGTGAGCCACCAGCATCTGGCTGAATTAGTTTTTACTACAGGTACAGAAATGACATGCTTTAGAAAGAGAAATGCAAGATTCCAAAAGCAAGCTTTGTTACCTTTACAAAATCCTCTTCTGCTGCACATTTTTCATCTTACACAAATACTAAGGTTTCTTCCCCCTTACAATTCTTCAGATAAAACGTTTAAGCTAGCCATCATACTTGAGACTATCATTTCTGTAAGAAAAGATGGTTTGTGAAGATTCCAGCTACCATCAGGGTAGCACAGCAGAAAGTGAGACTCGGGAAGGGATTCAAAAACATGGATCTGTGCTATTATACTTTAATCTTTTATGTATTTGATTCACATCTTGGTTGGGCTACTATTACTTCCTAACAGTTTCTGGAATATCAAAGTTGATTGTCGAAAAATGTAGTTATGAATTTATGAGAAGTAAAAAGATTTTAATGTAGCAAGGATGAATGCTATCAAACTTTTGACATAAACGTATCATTTAAAAGAGGCCCAGAGGTAGGATGTAAAAACCTTCATTGTAACAGTGGTTATAATATGCAGCAAATATTACCAACAGATCTCTTATATTAAAATCCTAATGAAACAATTGTGCCTCCCATTAGGGGTACTACAAGATGTTCAAACTAATAAGTTCATTTCGAAATGAACAACCCTCTGCAATTTTGCCTTTAGAGTGTGAGAGTTATGAATCTTTCTCATTACCAAGATTCTTTATCCTCCCACGCAATATGCACTTGTAGATAAATTCGAAGACTTCTGAATTTATACCACAAATGGAAATTTCCCCATAAGAAATACAAGCTAATAAATCAGGGTAGCCATGGGATCTCCTGCTATTTTAATGCATTTATGGTAATAACATCTTCTCAATGTAATTTTCAAATGCAATTTTAGCTCCTTTAAATTAGTGTCGAGTACGGTTTCTGACAGTATCTATGGATTACGCTCACATGATCATAAGTATGGTTAACTCCATAAATAGTATCACCGGCAATGAATTCACAATGAATCAAATTCCTGAAATATTGTTACTGATCACAGCTACTAAGTTCAAGAGAAATACATTCCAGGTAAAATTGAAGGTTGACCTTAATCCTTTAACCGCATGGGATAAAGAACACTGCTTTGTCCACATATATTTTTCTTGTTCACTGGACAAAAAAAAAACAATATTTACGCTTCAAGCAACTGAGCATGGCTTGTTTGTTACATAAACCACAGCATCTCTGTCTCGTAAAGAGTTAATTCACTACATGGTTAAACCATTCTGCCTTACATAATGACCTCTAAATTATCTATGCCAAGACAAATGGAGTCAGAGTAGAGGCAATAATTCAAAATGGTAAATAGCAACATACATTTATTTGAGCTTTGGGAAGCTTTGCGTGATTTATTATGCTTGCTGAACTTACTTCCCAAATGAAGTTGTGCCAAGTTGGATATTAAAAAGAGCTCGAGATACTTGAACACAGGAAGGACAAAGGCATGAGTGGCCAGGCTAGAAGGCCAAGCGTGAGGACAGAGTTTACTCAGAATCCCAAATTTCCCATATGTAGTTCAAGAACACAAAGATTTGATATATGGATAATTAATCTAAATTAAATAGTCATAGATTTTACTTACCTTTACTAGCTTTATTCAATACCCAATTAGAGAATGGGATCCAGTTTCTCTTTTCTAACTAGATGATGCATTGTTCATTTTATGCAATGCTGACAGAAAGTGAGATATGTAAAAGCCCATAATTGCAGCGACAGCGAGGTATTCTAATTATGATAAAGATCAATTGGTTTCATAGAAAACCATGTAACCATTGAAAGAGAAGCTGTTTTATGGAAAGGGTAGGCTACGTGGAGCGATTACTAATTTCAATAAAAAAAAATCAATGAGGAATTTCGGGACTTGGGAGTAATACACATCATCACACAAATGAGCTGGTGTGTTTTAAAATGACTCTCGCCTGCTTTACACAGGAATTGAAAGAGAAGATGGACGAACTCCTGCCCTTGATCCCTGTGCTAGAACAGTACAAAACAGATGCCAAGCTGATCACCCAGTTCAAGGACGAAATCCGGAATCTGTCTGCGGTCCTCACTGGGATCCAGGAAGAGATTGGGGCTTATGACTACGAGGAACTGCACCAAAGGGTGCTCAGCTTGGAAACCAGACTGCGGGACTGCATGAAGAAGCTAAGTGAGTACAACACTCTCTAAGCCATGGTTTGAAGTAGGTTCAATGAAAGCTGCGTCATTACTGGTCAGAAAGTAGCTCGTTAGAGGAACGCCAGTAGTGCCTACTTTAAGTGTGTTGTGTGCCTTAGTGATTGAACTTCCTGGTTACTCAGGAATACTTGATGAAGACATTTTAGATCGCCACGTCACCATTTGGTGGTTTGAAATAAGTAGCCTCAAAAATACACCCGATTTTATTGGCTGAATGAGTAGAAATAAGTTGCAGGGAATTTTATAATATGTGATGACAATCAATATCTGACTAGGGGAAGAGAGGAAGATGTGGATAGATGAAAGCTAACCTGGAGTGAAGTGGAAAACAGCACTGATTAAAACAAACCAATTACTCTGCAGAATTGCCTTCTAGTGCTTTAATCTACTAAAAAAGCAAAAACGAAAATCCAATGAGGAAATACCTATTTAAATATAGTTATTTCTCTGTGAGGACAAAGAAATAGATTCTAGCTGTGACCTGCTAAGCCACCTGCTTCCATCTGGCTAGTGTTTCTAAGTCTTCTCTGACATCCATGAACTAACTACTCAATTCAAATCAACATGGGACTAGTCTACAACTTGAACATCATTATTAGATGATGGTAGGTGACCATGAATTGAAGAAGGAGGGAATGTAACACAGGGTCAGTTGTTGACATGGTTAACAGGGTAAGAAGGTAAACTCAATAATCCATATTCTTTCAAGGTACAAACATACTTCTGTGGAATCAGAAATGAACAGGCAAATGTCCATGGCTAATTATATTTCTATATAATTATATTTCTAATTTTGTTTCTAATAAAATCTGAACATTTGCAAGAACGTGTTAAAGTATACTTACCTATGTGTTCTGAATGATGAATGAAAAACCAAATGACAAAGCCCTGCATTCAGTCATCAGAATCTCAAAAAGTGTGGGGATTGAAATATTGTGTATGAGTGTGTGAAATACCGTAGTGTACCCCTTTGCACAAATTGCATACCCTGAAAGATTACATGTCATGTCGATAAAATAGGTCCTGGGAATGGGTACCAGTGGGAGGAATGGGAGTAAATGAAAAGGGTGAAGGAGGGTAAATATACTTAAAATACATGATATTCATACATGAAAATGGGACAATGAAGCTTGTTGAGATTGATTTGGGGATTTGGAGGGCAGGTGATGGAGGAGATAAATATGATCAAGGAATTGTGTGTGTATACCTGGACATGTCAAAAGGGAACTTCTTTGTCTACCTAGTTGATGATAATAAAAAATTCAGTGTGGGAGGTAGAAGAGTTTTTTAAAAATGGGTATCATTATATGAGAGACTCGGCTATAGTTATCATAGATTTTCTAACAGAATCCAACAAAAATTAATGAGAAAAATAGTAGCTAAACTCAAAGGCTAATTTCTCATTAGCCAAGATCTACACATGTTCTTCTGTAATTGGTCAACCATCAACTATCTAGTCTCTGCTCCTCTCCAGCCCTTCCAGCATGGGCCTTGCTACTTCTCTAGTTTTCCCAGGCCCTTGTGCCTTCTGCTTGCTTCTCACTGGGTCATTGTGAGCCATCATGGGTTCCTGTTCCTGAAGTACCTTCACCCAAAGACCCGTTCACTCTCAGCATACTTTCACCTACCACACATAGTACATGCTGCTTTCTTCAGGCCTTAGTTTCAATGTTGTGTTTTGCCAGATTCCTTTATTGGCTTCTACATCCCTGCAAAATGCTCCCCCCCCCCCAAAACACTGATCGCTCACGAAAAATGAGGTATTTGTCATCAGAATTTCATGCACAGTTGAATATCTTTGCCCTGCTAGTGGTCCATGAAGACCAGAATAATTCTGTTTACTGTAAGTTGTTCTGAATCCAAATGCCTAAAACACTTACTGGCAAAGAAGTTATTCAAACATATTTGCTGAAGTAATTAATTATTTAGGGAGCCATAGGAATGATTGCTAAACCTATTCACTGAATATTAGCTCTTTCCAACCCCAAAGGATGATCTGTTTTGCTTGTTAAGATAAAGGGAGACTAACCAGTTATGATGTCTCATGCTGCAATGCCAGTTACTTAGGAGGTGAAAATAATGAAGACTGTAGTTCTAGGACACTCTTCCCCTAACCCTCCCTAGCAAAACATTATTGAAGCACCTCATCTCAACAAACAAGACTATTGTGATAATACTCACCTGTAATCCAAGTTATGAGAGATGTAAATAGGAGGATGATAGTATGAGGCCAGTCTGAGGCAAAAAATGGGAGACTCTCGTTGAAAATAACTAACATAGAAAAGGTCTGGGGTTGTGGCTCAAGTGGTACACAAGTCGTACATGACCTGCACAGCAAGTACAGAAACAAACAAAACAAACTTAGGTATACTAGGGCCATCTTGGAATACCAGCTTTGAAGCAGAGACAGGATGATAGCGATTCAAAAACTCCAAAGACCCTTCCTCTTAGCCACTTAATATTTATGCTAAAATAGCATAGGTTGATTAAGATTAAGCAGAAAAAAATGTTATCTAGCCTAAATAGCCTATATACCTATGGAGTTTCAGCCATATTGTATTTGCTTCCATTTTTAAAAAAAAATTACTGTAAAGGTGATGCACAGAAGAATTATAGTTACATAAGTAAGGTAATGAGCACATTTCTTTTTGAACAGTGTTGCCCTCTCCCTCATTTTCTCCCATCCCCCACTTTCTTCACCCCCCTCAATTTGTAAAGTTCATTTCTATCATAGTGTCTAGTGAGTACCATTGTTGCATTGGTTCACCCTTTGTCCCACTGTTTCCATATTTCCCCTTCCATTTCCCAAATCATATAAACTTATATATAAGACAAAAGGCATAGAGATTTAAAAAATGACCTATTTTTTAAAACTGAGAAGTAAGTCCCAGGTAGTACTCATTATCAGATTATGTCTTCATTAAAAAGATAAGAAAAGCAGCGAGCACAGTTGGTTCACGCCTGTAATCCTAATTATTCAGGAGGGTGACAACTGAGAATCATGGTTGAAAGACAGCCCTGTGAGGCTCTAATTGCCAATTAATCACTCAAAATCCAGAAGTGGTGCTGTGGTTCAAGTGGTAGAGCACTAGCCTTAAGTACAAAGAAGTTCAAGGACATTGCTTGAGTTCAGGGCCCACAACTCACACACTCACACACACACACACACACTCACACACACACACACACACACACACACACACACGATAAAAAAAATCTTGAACTGCAATTATATAGCATTCAAATTACTTCAGGAATTACAAAGAAGTATCCAACTGCTTGCTTTTGGAGGGGAAGTTGTATGATTTGAATCCAGAGCTTCATACATGCTAGACAGATGCTTTATTACCTGAGCAGCCAAGTTTCCAGTCCTTATGGCTTTTATTACATTTTAGGTGGATCTTGCTATTTTTACCCAAGCCAGCCTGAGTTGCTAGCTCGCTTACTGCTGGGAAGCTGGGATGAGAGGTGTATACCATTACACCTGGCTTATTTGTTCAGGTGGGGGGATCCCACCAACTTTTACTCAGGGTGATCTTAAACTGTGATTATCCCCATGTCTACTTCTTGAGTGGCTAGAATTCCAGATGTGAGCCACTGTGCAAGGCTTAAAATGTGTATATTATTATCTCATAAAATATCTGTTGCCTGTCCTATAGGAGATTTGTGTAGAGCTTGTGTGGAGCTTTGACTTTCTTTGTGGAAGAAAGTTAAAGATGTTAAAGATGAACCATTCCATATCTTCAGAGTCAATTTGGTCTTTCATAAACACAGACACAAAACATCAGCTAAGGATTGATGAGTCTGCTGGAACAAGGACAGTTAGTATTAGTGCTAGCTAATTACCCCTAGCATATTGAACAATCTTAATAGGGAAAACATGCTAATGAAACTTACTTCCATGTAGTCTCAGTCTACTGAGCTAGAAGCATCTCTGTTGCGATTGGATAAATCTGCATACCTCTCTGCTCCCTCACATGCAGCTTCCTTTCAAAATCCACATTCCCCTCCCTATACTCACCTGAAGATTATATTTGAAACAAAGAAGGAGAATAGGTGGACGACAAAAATCCTGCCTTTTGGTTCTTACTGATATTACTGCAATGGCATCTGTAAGACTTGATCCTGAATGTATTTATCATCCTAGGCCATTTTTATCCTTTCTTCATGAATCAGAAGTTGTTTTTGTTTTTATTTTGTTTTGGTTTGATTTTGTGCTAGTACTGGGGTTTGAACTGAAGGCTTTTCACTCCCCTTAGCTTTGTGCTGGCACTCTAGTACTAGAGCCATAGTTCCAATTAGGGTTTTTTTTCTGGTTAATTAGAAATAACAATCTCATGGAATTTTCTTCACAAACTGTCTACAAACCTCAATCCTCAGATCTCAGTCTCCTGAGAAGCTAGGATTACAGGCATCACTGGTACCTGACTAGACCCCAGGTTTTGAAAGAATATGACAAACTTCATTGATTAATATTTATTTTCTTTTATTATTTTATGTTAATGTATTTATTTATTTATCTTATAGTACTGGGAATTGAAACCCCTCCCAGGGCTTCATATATGCTGATTTTAATTACTCTAAATCATATGCTCTACCAGTGAATGTAATGTAAATATCAGTTAAGAACAAATTGGAATTCATCTTTCCTATTTAATGAGATGGCTATTCGTTGAGTTAGTTGGGATGTCCCCATAAAATATTGAAACTATCATTAATTTCTCAGTGTTTATGAGGAACTGTCTCCAGGAGCCTCACAGATGTTCAGATCTGCAGGTGTTCACACCTCTGTACAACTTGAATAGTGTCTGCACATAACCTACACACACCTTCCCATACATGTAATAACCTCTAGATCACTTACAAGACCTAACATACCACAAAGGTTACATACCAAGTTAATACACTATGTTGTTTGGTTCTAGATAAATAGTCTGTGCCTGTTCAGTATGGAGGAAAATTCTTTCAGAT